GAAAAGGATCTGGGAGTTGTGGTGAATCACAACCTCAACATGAGTAAGCAATGTGATGCTGTTGCAAAAAAAGCAAATGCAATTTTAGGTTGCCTTAACAGAGGCACGGCATGCAAGTCATGGGAGGTGATAGTACCGCTCTATTCAGCACTGGTTAGGCCTCAGCTGGAGTACTGTGTCCTATTTTGGTCACCAATGTATAGAAAGGATGTGGAGAAACTGGAAAGGATCCAGAGGTGAGCAACAAAGATGATCAAAGGGATGGAATGCAAGCTATACAGGCAAAGGCTGAAGGAACGGGGTATGTTTAGTTTGGAAAAGAGGAGATTAATGGGGGACATGATAGAGGTTTTTAAATACTTGAAAGGCTGCCATAAAAAAGGTGGAGAAAATTTGTTCTCTCTTGTGATATAGGGCAGGACAAGAGGCAATGGATTCAAACTGTAGCATAGCAGATTTAGATTAAATCTCAGGAAAAACTTCCTAATTGTAAGAACAGTAGAACAGACTGCCTAGGGAGGTTGTGGAAGCTCCTTCACTAGAAGTTTTCAAAAAGAGGCTGGACAGCCATCTGTCTTGGATGGCTTAGATAACAAATCCTGCATCTGGCAGAGGGTTAGACTACTAGATGACGCCTCTGGTCCCTTCAAACCCTATGATTCTATGAAAGCGCACTTGGGAACTGTTAGTGCACAGTCATGGAGTCCACACAGTCAGTCAGTGTGCATCAGCCTGGGGCACTGTAAATGTACACCCCAGCTTGTCGTGCATGAGCTCTCCATCTAGACAAACCCATTTGCAGAATAGAGGCTGTACAGAACCCTACTGGGGTGTGCCTCTCAATGTAGTAAATCAACCCTTAACATTAATTCTATTTTAATACTTAGTAGAGGTGAGAAAAATATTTGGAGAAAATGACTTTCCAACAAAATGTGACTGTTTACAGGTTTTCTTTTGAAGCCATTCTACAAAATTTCAAAGTTTTCTATGCAATTGCACATAAAAATATTCTTGATGTTCATGTGAATTTGAACATGTGATATTCACTTAAATTAATTTCAAGCGGTGTTAGTTGATTGTGATTGGTCACACACTGGTTCAGTAGGGCCTGGTCCACAAACAGGTGGTTTGTTTGTTTTTGTTTTTTAACTGGTATAACTATTTGGGTTAGAAGTGTAATTTTCTTTTTATCTGAAATAGCTATCCCAGTTCAACTCTTAACGTTGAAATAGTAATGCCACTACCATCTTTTCAGTGAATACACACTATCTGGGCTTTTCTGGTGGTCCACTGCTCAGACTGAGAGGCTCCTTCTCACAACTGCTGTTTATTTTTTCCTTTTATTTTTAGCTTTGTTTCCTCTTTTCAACTGGCAATAGTGAGTGAGAAGTAGGGACACAGCCTATACACCTAAATCACTCCAGTTATTACCAACATTTGTAATTTATCTGGTAGGATTTAACCTACCACTTTATTAAAGAAAAATTTCCCATAGTGCTTCTGATAAGCATAAAGTCTCTGGGACTGCACACAGTAGCAGTGCTACGTCTGTCAATAAGAAGCAATAAATTCTTTGCTACCACTTCACACTAGCTGTTGGAGCTGGCTTAGAGCCACAGCAGGGTCATGGTTAGAGCTAGTCCAAATTTTTTCATAATCTTTTTCAATTATAATTTTTTGACCAGAATGAAACTTATTTTGATCAAAATTTCCCATTTTGTCACCCAAAAACCAGAAACCAACAAGTTTTTCAGTATAAATTGATGGGGCAGTTTCTTTTAAAAAGTTAACTTTTCAGTAACATTTTTCAATATTTTTTTTTAAATATTTTTAAAAACGTTTTTTTCTTTTAATCAAACATCTCCAGTGTTTTTTCCACAAGAAATTACAAATAAATGGAAATGTTTAAATCTATAGAAATTTCGTGTGAAAAGTAACCGACATTTTTAAACCAGCTCTAACGATGGCCATTCCTTCACCTCCCTCCTGATGGGGTTTCTAATACTGTTTACATGAATCCTTGTCCACTGGGACCAAAACTGTGTCTTGCACCAGTGTAATGTAAAGAGGCTCCTCCTCTGGCTGCCTTTTTGACTCTGTATAGGACTAAGAGCTTGTGTTTATTGGAGAAACAAACATCATTAAGGCAGCATCCTTCTTGATACTGGATGGTTTTAATTAACAAAAATATTAAGGACTTGATCAGTTGTTCTCCATGTCCACTGAAGGTAGCACAAGAACTAATGGACTTAATCTATAGCAAGGGAGATTTAGGGTTAGATATTAGGAAACACTATAAGGGAGTTAATGTCTGTAATAGGCGTCCAAGGGAGGCTGTGAAATCCCCATCGTTGGAGGTTTTTATGAACAGGTTGGAAACAGCTGTCAGGAATGGTCTACATTTACTTGATTATGCCTCAGAGTAGGGGGCTGGACTTAATGACCTCTCAAGGTCCCTTCCAGCCCTACATTTCTATGATTCTATAAACGTAGATGTCTTTGATCACCTATCCTTCAGAAACTTTACACCTAATTTTCAAGTTTACGTATCATGGCCTCCTATGAATGGCTAGCTCTAACAAAGCTAATTGGAATACCAATTACAACCAAAACACTGTAATTACATTACTAATTCTGATGAGTTATGCAGTGGCAAATAAGTGATCTGAATAAATTACAAGAATTTCTCTGTCTCATGACTTTTTCAGGATGAACCACAGCTATTTTATTTTCTAATTAAGATAGAGGCAATTACAGAGGATAGTCTGTCACTGCATAGAATGAAGCTGAGTCATCATCATCATCATCATCATCTTGTAAACTGCACAATGAGGGTTAAGTTGTCATTGAGCTTACACAACTGCTGCTCTCATACAATTCTAGTTAATATATGCAGCACTTCCTGCACACTATGCTGAAAATGTGGCCCTGAGTGACTGGCTACCATCAATTTAAAAATAGGGTCACCAATTTTGGTTGGATGTATTCCTGGAGGTTTCATCACATGACATAAACTTTAATTAAAGATTAATCTTTAATTCCTGGAGACTCCAGGACAATTCTGGAGGTTTGGCAACCTATTTAAAAAGGAGGCACATTTGTAAGGGGGACTGGATCATCTCTGTGCTTGAAGTAGTGGTGTAACTCTGCCATTGAATGAAGTTAGAGGAGTCTTCTTCTGTGCTGCTGGAGGTAATAATGACGTGCTTGCTTTAAACAGAACCTTTCATCTAAGGTTCCAAAGTGATTTACAAACATGGATAAGTATTGCCTCCATTTTACACATGGGAAAATAGAAGCATAAAGAGATGAAGAGCCTGGTTCTACAATGCCTTTTACTACAACGGTGTTTTAGTACAATAAGGTACTACTAAAGTACTGTACGGAGTATTGGTGGCAGAATTGGGCCTTAAGTAACTTCACTAAATTTAACCCAGTGAATTAGTGGCAGAGCCAATAACAGGAACTGGATCAGACTCCCCCTTCCCTAGCTTCAGTCAGTGCATAATGAGCATTACTTCAATGCCAAGCACTAGTTGCTGGAGTAAGGACACCTAGGGTGTGAGCCACAAAGATATTTGGGACCTGTTCATAACTACGATCCATGAAACTCTGCTCAGCTGCCGCCTAACTCTGTAGGCACCTAAACTCACTCGTTGCCTGTGTTTTTGCATCTGAATGTGCTGAGAGACAGCCTACGGGATAGCGACCCTCAGGAGAGTTCACAGAAAACAGCTGTGTTGGGAGGGGATAGGGTACTCACCCAGAATGTGGGAGACCCCTAGTTCAAGTCCCTCTTCCTCCTGAGGGAGAGAAGGGAGTTGAATAGGAATTAGCCATCTCTCAGGGGCGTGTCCTAAACATTGGGCTATGGAGTAGTCTGATGTGAGGCTCCATCAGTCTCTCCTATTGAAGTTGTTCCCCTTTAACTGAATAAGTAAATATTAATTGGGCTAGTGACAGAGCTGGAATGATTCTACAGCCTAGTGGTTAAGGCACTCACCTGAGAGGTGGCTGATCCCTGTTCAAATGGGAGAGTACCCTGCCCACTGGGCTAAAGGTTATAAGGGAGGTCCTCTTCTCTTTTGTTTCAGGCCCTGCACACAATTTAGGCAGCCGAACACCTATCTCCCCTAGTTCGTGGCTCGCATGCAAAGACAGGTGCCTTCCTGCAGCCCAGACTTAGGTGCCTATCTCCATAAGAAGGGCAGGGCTTACCACACACCTTTCTTGTCAACATTTCCTATTGACTAGCTTAGACAGCTCCCCTTCCCCCCCCCCCCCAGTGTGCTGGCTTTGTGGATCATACTGTAAGGCGCCTCTCTTCCCCCCATTCGTTGTCTAGATGCCTAGGTTTTGTGGATCACAATTTTGTTCCTGTGATTTTTCTAGATGCTCAAAAGTTAGGCGCCATGACACTCAGTGTCAGAATGCCTAAGTACCTTTGTGGATCTGGGCCCTATATATATGGCACTTGCCTTAATACCCTCTCCACCTCTTCATGTAATTAATAGATATTTAAGTTTATTTGCTTATCACTCTGACTGTGAGTGGGTCATTACGGACGTTACTAGAAACGAGGTATAAAAACAAATACAGTGGCTTGTGGAATAAGTCGATGGAAAATGGAAGTAAGAGTAGTCTGCATTTTGTTAACGCCTTCCACCTGAGTTCATCAAAGCTCTTCACAAGCACCACTGAATTAAGCCTCACAGCACAACTATGAGATAAGGAAATTTTATCATCTTTATTTTACAGATGAGGAAACTTAGGCCTAGAGCGGTGTTTTCCCCAAGGTCACATAGGAAGTTGGTGCCACAGCCAGATGTACCATCCAGAGCAGCTGGTTCCCAGTCCTGTGTTTTCCTCCCTAATAGAGCCTCATGAATAGGGGACATCTCTCTGAATTTTCAACACTGGATCAATGATGAACAGCTTTCTGTGAATATTCATATTGATAATTTGAGCTTTAAAAATTGATTGTCTTCACCCAGCTGTACCTGCCATGCAGAATGAACCTTTATGGGAAGTCCTAAAGTGTGACGGCAGTACAACTGGTCATCAAGATCCTGCCTAGGATCTGGTTTCTGAAAGAGCTCCACCAGGAGTCTGGTTAGTAAGCCACCAGAAGAAGGTAACTGAGATTGGGAAAATAAATTCAGGAGGATGAATTCTAAGTAAAGGTACTTGACTTTGAACTTTTGCATGGGTAAAATCACTTGGGAACACCATATGATCATTGTGCAAATAGTGTCATTTATATCCCTGCATTTTATGTAAGGTTTGATGGAGCAGTGGAAGTGAGGGCACTGGGGGGCTCAGAGCAATGATTATGGCATTTTAATAAATGCCATATGTACTAATTCATACAGTGCACCAGAGTCTTGTGCTGATGAAGTAACTGCTATGCTTACAGTTTCACTAAAACTACTGTTATCTAAATGTCACAAATCAAATCTAGCTAAATTACATTCTCATTTATGTCATCTGATTTTTATACTTGCTGCAGGCATATTTTTCTGATAAGGTAATGAAACTATAACATTGATGATTTGTTTGAGCATGCCCTTTCCCTTCAAATGCACAAATATTTCTGCAATACTTCTAGGATTATGCTATTTCTTATTCAATTTCTTGGCCAAGTTCATTTGCCCTGAGCAATATTTTTCTCTTTCCTTTAATACTTAACAGTAACATAGTTTTAAAAACAAGAATCATAAATACTTACCACTTGGCTTAGATCATATCCCCAAGGAAGAAAGAGAACTCCTGTGTTATATTTTTCCCAATGTGAAAACATAAAGTTAAGCAAGACAATGCTTAAAGATATATACATTGTGTGTACAGAAATCCCAGTCTTTCCATTATCACGTGAGCAGATAGAAAAATAAGAGAGGATGAAGATGGAGGTAGCCCAGCTATCTAGCCCATGGTCAAATAACTCCCCCAAAGGGCTACTGGACTGAGTCCTTCGAGCATGCTTCCCATCTATAGAGTCTAGAAGGGGGGGAGCAAAAACAAAAGAAATATAATTTTGTTAGATAGATTTCATACTACTGTATGTAATAACATGGGGGAAATGTACTCATAGACCAAGAACAAATGGAGTTCTGCTCCATCAAAACTTTAGTCCTGCCCATATAGCATTGACTTCTGCCCTCATCTAAATATTTTTCTGTTACAATTCTTCTTCCTCACAAGCTTTGCCAATAGACACTTGCATTCATTACCCTGTCTCCCAATGGCCTCCCTGATATTCCGTCAAAGCACTATAGACCCAAGTCCTGCAGGAAAACATTCCTAACAGAGGGGAATAAATAACCCTAAATAATTATGTTCTACACCGGGGTGGGCAAACTTTCTGGCCCGAGGGCCACATCTGGGTGGGGAAATTGCATGCAGGACCATGAATGTAGGGCTGGGGCAGGGGGTTGGGGTGCTGGAGGGAGTGCAGAGTGTGGGAGGGGATGCGGAGTGTGGGAGGGGGTTCAGGGCAGGGGGTTGGGGTGCAGAAGAGGTGCGGGGTGTGGCAGGGGGCTGAAGGCAGAGGGTTGGGGTGTGGGGTGCAGGAGGGGTTTGGGGGGCGGGCTCCGGCCTGGAGCCACTTACCTTGAGCAGCTCCGGGGTGGCAGCGGCGCGCAGCGGGGCTAAGGCAGGCTCCCTGCCTGCCCTGGCCCCGCACCACTCCTGGAAGTGGCCAGCCCATGTCCCTGCGAACCCTGGGGGAGGAGGGGCAGAGAGCTCTGCGTGCTACCCTCGCCTGTGGGTACCTCCTCGCAAAGCTCCCATTGGCCGCGTTTCCCCGTTCCCAGCCAATGGGAGCTGCGGTGCCCGCAGGCAAGGGCAACACATGGAGCCCTCTGCCCTCCCTCCCCCCAGGGCCCACGGGGATGTGGTGCTAGCTGCTTCTGGGAGCAGCACGGGGCCCGGGCAGGCAGGGAGCCTGCCTTAACCCTGCGGCGCCATGGGGGTGGCAATCCCGTGGGCCAGATGCAAAGCCCTGACGGGTCGGATCCAGTTCACGGGCTGTAATTTGCCCACCCCGATCTACACAATTTTACAAATCGAACCTGATTATTCTAATGTGCAGATAGACTAATCCTTTTATTACTTTCTTTAATTCTGGGGGAAAGATTTTTGTGTGTGTGTTAAAGTCTCTGAGTTAGAGTTAAATTCTCATGAAAATATTTAGGATGAAGGGGCGGGTTGGGTTATTTATTTACTTAACACTTGCGAGGATTCGGATGGCTATTTGCTGGCTGAATCCTAGTAGCATCCTATAAAAAGAATAAATAATGTTTCTCTTGATCATATATTGTCAAGTCTAGTTGCTGATTTATACATACCAGTATCTTATGTTCATATCTATAGACATTTTCAGTTCATTTGTGGTGTTATTCAAGGGGGAACTTGGATCAGGACACAGGAGAGAGACTGTTTCCTTCAAATAGCCTCATGAGATCTTAAATGTCTTGAAGCCAAATGACCAGGCCTAAGAGACCTGCTTTTTTGTCTCATGTTGGTGGATGACACCTCCCAGCTGTATATTACAAAGTTATAGCATTTAAGGCCGGAAGGGACCACCAGATAATCCAGTCTGCCCACCCGTATATCACAGGCCACTAAACCCCACATCAATTACCCCTGAATTGAGCCCAACAACCAGAATTAGATCAAAGTATTATAGCCCTGAAGAGACCCAACTATCGTGTGTCACGGGCACACGTAGGATGCATCAATGCCTGAGGTCCCTGTAATGGCAGGGGAATGATTTGGTGATATACTCAGATGATCATTTCATTAAATTCATTAAGGCTGTGCAAAGAATGATCGTTATGAAATAAAACACTTCTAGCAGTGATGATGATTGGTCAGGATTATTAGCCAAAGTTACCTGATCATCAACTTCCAGAAATGATCATGCCAATCATGTATTGTGCTATAGAGCTACAGAAATCCCGGTCAGTATATAATCTTAGCACAAATTTCAGCAATAGAGTAGAAATACTGAGGCATACACAGAGACATACACAAATCTAATCTGGTGTAAAACATGAATATGAAACTGAAAGGTCAGAACATGGTTAGAATGTTGCCATGAGCACAGGAGCAGCGCCAGGGTTTTTGCCGCCCTAGGCGACAGCGCTCCTCCACAGTAATCGGCGGCAGCTTCTCCTCTGAAGCTGCGTTCTTGGCGGTGGGGGTCCTTCCGCTCCGGGTCTTCGGGGCACTTCGGCAGCGGGTCCCGGAGCGAGTGAAGGGCCCGCCGCTGAATTTCCGATGACGACTCGGAGCGGAAGAAGCCCCTCGCTGCCGAAATTCCGCAGAGGGCAGCGAAATGCCGCCCCCCACATCCTGCCGCCCTAGGCGACCGCCTAGGGTCGCCTAGTGGAAGCGCCAGCCCTGCATGAGCAGAAAAGGCAGCAAAAAGGGCAATCCTAGATTAAACTGAATCATTAAATGCACCTCAGACCAGACCTATAATGGTCATATTGTCTTTCTGGACAGACACTGGAGGATCAAGGGAGTTGCAGCATAGACAAAACTGCTCTGTGTCTTTTATTTCCCCTAGTTTCTGTAGTTGTGAGTGCCTGGGAGCTTCTTATAGAGTCAGTGGTTAAGCACCAAAGATTTCCATAAGAACCATCGCTAGTATGCATGCGGACAGGACTGTCCGATGTTCATGGTCAATCTTCTCGAGGAAAGCCTGTCTAGAGTAGTCAGGAGGGCGTTAAACTAATAATAACAGTGTAAGATAAAAATAGGGTAGATATGAACACTCTGTGCAAAATTGAAATGTTGCGAACAAAATTAATCAAGGAAGCCAAGGACATGAAGAGAAGAAATTCTTTAATTGCCTAGACACCAATGCTAGAAGCCAGGATAACAAACAAGAGGAATTGGAATTGCTCATAAATTTGATGTAGTTGCTATTACAGAAATCTGGTGGGGGTGATTCACACTACTGGAATATTAAAATCAATGATTACAACCTATTTAGGAAGGATTGAGATGACAAAAGGGGAGGAGGGATAGCACTCTGTCAAAAATGGCATTACCTGTTTCCAATTCATTGATACCTCAGAAGAAAATGATCTTGAATGCTTAAGGATCAATGTCCTAACAGATAAAGCATAAGATGCAGTATTAGTATGTGTCTTCTGCAGACCACAAAATGACACAGGGAACAGAATGATCACCTCCTTACGCACCTATTTATGATGTGTAGGAAAAAAAGCTGTGTGATCATAGGGGACGTCATTTTGAGTGACCTATATTGGAGGTATCATGCTCCCAGTACTAAAAGATCCTTGGAATTTCTAAATATTATAGATGACAATTTCCTAATCAAAAAGTGTTGTGTCCAACACGGAGAGATTCTATATTAGATCTTGGCTTGACAGATAACGGGGAACTGATCACAGAACTAAAATTTAATTGTAATTTAGGTAAGTGATCATGATTTGATAATATTTATAATGTGCAAACAGAAAAAAGTCCAAACAAGAGAGATACACACTTGGCGCTTTAAAAGGGCCAATTTCACAAAGCTGAAAACAGTTCTGAGCCAAATCAACTTGGAAGAAGAATTTAATCAGAAAAATGTGAATGATGATTGGAAATTGTGAGTTTATTTATATATATATAACAAATGAAAGAAAGGGGAAGTTAATAATAATGAATATAAATCAGAAGCTAGGAATTGTAGAAAATTGACAAGGGAAGCAAAAGGGCACAAGGAGAAATTTATTGCCAGCAGAGCTAAGGACAATAAGAAGGAGATTTTTAAAGATACTAGGAACAAAAAGAATCTCAACAATGGTATTAGTGCATTACTAGATGAAAATGGCATAATTATAGATAATAATCCAGAAAAGGCAGAAGTGTTCAATAAATATTTCTTTTCTGTATTTGGGAAAAAACAGATGATATAATCATATCATATGACCACACTCTTTCCATTCCACTTGTATCTCAGGAGGATGTAAAACAGCAACAATTAAAGATAGACATTTTTTAAATCAGCAGATCTGGAAAACTTGCATCCAAGAATTTTAAAAGAGTTGGCTGAGGAACTCACTGGACCATTAATGTTCTTCAAGAAGTCTTGGAAAACTGGGAAAATTCCAGAAGACTGGACACAAGTTCATGTTGTGTCAATATTTAAAAAGGATAAATGGGATATCCAGGTTAATTATAGGCCTGTCAGTCTGACATCGATCCTGGGCAAGATAACAGAGCATCTGATACAGGACTCAATTAATAAAGAACTAAAAGAGGGTAATATAATTAATGCCAAAAAACATGGGTTTATGGAAAAGAGATTCCGCCAAACTAACTGGATATCTTTTTTGATGAGATTGCAAATTTGGTTGACAAAGGTCATAATGTTGATGTAATATACTTCTGTAAGGCATTTGATTTGGTACCTCATAACATTTTGATTAAAAACTTAGAATAATATAAAATTAACATGGTACACATTAAATGAATTAAAAGCTGACTAACTGATAGGACTCAAAATATACTTGTAAATGAGGGATCATCATTGAACAGGTATGTTTCTAGTGGTGTCCCACAGAGATTAGTTCTTGGCCCCAATGCTACATAATATATTAATGACCTGGAAAAAAACATAAAATCATCACTGATTAGGCTTGCAAATGACATACAAATTGGGGGGTGGGGTGGTAAATAATGAACAGGACAGGTCACTGATTCAGAGCAATCTGGATCACTTGGTAAAAGGAAACAATATGCATTTTAATATGGCTAAATGTAAGTGTACACAGCTAGGAACAAAGAACATAGACCATATTTACAGGATGGGGGACTCTGACCTGGGAAGCAGTGACTCTGAAAAGGATTTGGGGGCTGTGGTGAATAATCAGCTGAACATAAGCTTCCAAAGCAATACTGCAGTCAAATGGGCTAATGCAATCCTTGAATACATATACAGAGGAATCTTGAGCAGGAATAGAGAGGATCTTTTACCTCTGTTTGGCACTGGTGTGACTGCTGCTGGAATACTGTGTCCTGTTCTGGTGTCTACAATTCAAGAAGAATGCTGATAAATTGGAGAGGGTTCAGAGAAGAGCCTCAAGAATGAATAACGGATTAGAAAACATGCCGTATAATGACAGGCTCAAACAGCTCAATCTATTTAGTTTAATAAAGAGATGATCAAGGGGTGACTTGATTCCAGTCTGTAAGTACTTACGTGTGGAACAAATATTTAATGATGGGCTCTTCAATGTAGCAGAGAGAGGTATAACACAATCCAATGGCTGGAACTTGAGGCTAGACAAACTCAGACTGGAAATAAGGCATACATTTTTAACAGTGAGAGTAATTAATCACTGAAACAACTTATCAAGGGACATGGTGGATTCTCCATACCTGGCAATTTTAAAATCAAGGCTGCATGTTTTTCTAACAGATCTGCTCTAGGAATTATTTTGGGGAAGTTTTACGGTGTGTGTTATACAGAAGGTCAGACTAGATGATCACAATGATCCCTTCTGGCCTTGGAATCTATGAATCATTCTTAAGAAAGGGCAAATGTTTAAGACAAAGCTGTCCCATTCTGAAACATCTTCCCCCACTAAAATAATACACCCAAAGGTAACAATGAAATTATTTTTTTAAGAAAGCCGAGGACTGTAGCCAGTATCACCGACAGCAATGTCAGTACTTAGTGACAATTTCCCAAGAAAATGTTTTGGTGTTGTCATGCTGCAAAAAAATTGTGCTTGCATTTGTAAGGGAGATGAGCTAGTTATCAAGGCTGCAGTTTACCAATATGGAAAGTTTCAGAATGTTGGTTTAAAAATACATCCTACGGGTGTTAAACATTTTCAGCACATTATCAAATACCTATATACCTCTACCCCGATATAACGTGACCCAATATAATACGAATTTGGATATAACGCGGTAAAGCAGTGCTCCGGGGGGGCAGGGCTGCACACTCCGGCGGATCAAAGCAAGTTCGATATAACGCGGTTTCACTCATAACGCGGTAAGATTTTTTGGCTCCCAAGGACAACGTTATATCAGGGTAGAGGTGTATTTCAGTACTTTGGGAATAGGCCAGTAATTTATTCACAACCTTTTATTGTTTTAATTACAACATACTGGACAAAACAATATGTAGATATGAGATATGCAAATTCTCTTTTCATACTTTACCTAAAGCATAAGCACAAAAGGTGGTACAAGCACCAAACAGCCATACCCATGTTGGAACAATTCCAGGACTGGCACCTGCAAGATATGGGGTGAGTGGAGGGGTGGGAAGGAATAACAGTGGTTATAACTAATGAAATCCACCTAAAAGTCTTGTGTGCAATAGCAGATGTATATATGTGTATGTGCATATCCTCATTATGTGAAAAAGAATTAAAACAAGATATTTTTGTGAACTGGAAGCAATGTGCACCATCAGCAATCTATATTGATTACACTTCACTGAATTTAGTGGGATAATGGAGGCCCAGGGTATTTACAAGTACGTTCATATTGTAAAAGGGAAAAAATATACAATAGATTATTGCAGCTGAAGTGATTACAACATTGTATGAAAGTAATGAAAATAGGGCAAAAATCTTCATTCAGGTTCTGTGCAGACCACTCATCAACTAATTAGTTAATATTTGTGCAATGCACTGTGTAATTTTTAAGTTCTTAGTAACGTATTGTTCTTAGTAACATAAATGAGATCTCTGTGCAGTTTTACTGTACAGATCAGAGAGGAAAACTTTGCCCATAGGCTAGAGGGAACATAGTAGACATAGTTTCTCTTGATTTTTGGAAAGATGCTTGATACAGTGATTCTTGATATTCTTGCATTTAAACCGGGGACAAATATGAATTGTATAGAACTACAAGATGGCTACAAAACTGCTATTTTTTTTAATCCTTGTTTATTTAGAGCATTAGGTCCCTGCCCAAAAGAGCATGCAATCTAAATTAGACATAACCCGGTGAGGGTATCCCAACAATAAATGTTCATATATACAAACCTTGTCAGTTTTCTTACAGTCTGGCTGGTGCAGCAGGAAGCACAGCACCAGGCACAGAAATAATGTGCAGCTCATTTAACACAACCCAGGCAAATGGCTCTGTGGTCAGTGTGGTAAATGTTGTTGTTCCCAAATTGGTCTACAGACCCAGGCGAAAATCCATTAGTACAAATTGTGATTGTTGACGTCATCCTTGAAATCGGAGTGAGTGGTATTAATAATTCAGCCCATTATACAGATAAGTTTGGATTTGGATCCTGAGAAAATGTAGATCTAAATTTGTCAGGCGAGAGCAGGTGTTTTGAATCCGTTTCTGTAGCTTTGTATTTGGCCTGACAAAGACTTGAATTTGGAGGTGAAACTCACTTATTTTGATATCAGAAAAGAAAGGGAAATGAATACTGGTCTGGACACAGATCTTAGATATTATGGTCTCTGAGGTAAATGAAAAAACTCTATGGAAGGCATGGATTTTTCTTTTTTTATTATCTTATTTATGAACGACTATGGCATTAGAATCCTGTGATAGTGCCTGATCCTGCACCACTGAATTCAATGGGAGTTTTGACTTTAATGGGTACAGGATCAAACCCATAGTGTAAAATTTCAGCTAAATGACCTTCTGTGAGTCTTTGCAACTCACAGCCCTGATCCTGCAATGAGATGTGGGCAGGCAGGCCCCACTGCATCCACATGGAGCCCCACTGAAATCAATATGGCTTTGTGTGGGAGGAGGCAGGCAGGTATCTTGCAGGAATGTGGTTTGAGTAGCTCTACAGTTCTAAAAACCAAATGGATAATTACCTGATGCAGTGTAGTCCCAGTCATAAAAAGATAACAGAAAATAATTAATTAAAATCATCAGAAATCCAGAGAAGGTTAACAAGTTAGGAGCAATCCACAGAGGCACTATCTGTAAAAATATTTAAAAGAAAAATCACATTGATGTTAAGAAGCCATATTTTAACAGAACACGTCACAACATTTGTAATAAAGAGAAGTATGTGTTAATAAATCAAGGGTTTCTATAGGTGCAAAATCAGCAAATATTTCACAATTTTAAAGATTCCTCAATTTTTTAAATTAAAAAGTTCTGGAAAATATGCAAGACATTTTCTTCTTAAATATTGTCTTTTTTGCCTAAATCTTTTAGTGACATTTTTAATAAATAATGTAGTTTAGAAATGTTCTATTTCATGCATTATACATATTTAATTATGGTCTTTGTTCTCCCAAGTGCTACATTGAAAATTTCTCATGCTTTTAGACACTAGAAAAGCAAGAAGACTGCAGTTACCACAGTGTGGTAACTCAGCATCCAGGCAGCACTGTAACAATCTTCCAAAGGACTCCACTCCCATACTGTAATAAGTAATTCTACAGGCAGAAATTCTGCAACCCCTTCTTTTCTATAAATAAACACTTTCAGATGTGACACACCCACAAAACAGTATGACTTTATAGGGGGGTACCCCTTATAAAATGAACTCCCTGAAGCAAAAAGATCTTTCTGCTCCCCTGGGATATAAATGTTCTGCACATAGTCCTCCCTCAAGGTATAAAGATGGCTTGCATACATATGCTGTAGTTTGGCTCCTCTTCATATGCTGTCTCATTATAGGAAGGGTCTACAATGGACACATGCATAACAGAAATGCTCCTAGCACATTGTAAAATCATGGCATACAGCCATTCTTCCTCCACTTTCTGTTTTTTCATGATAATCAGTGGAAAGTGAACAGATGTCTAACCAAGAATGTTTATGACATCCAAAAAATGTGTAATAAATGAAAGTAACATACAGTGATACTATCAGACATGATACCGTACCTAAGAAATATGCACTCACCAGCTAGTAATGCTCAGAACTCCCAGATGAATCTCCTACCTACATGTATATCTTGGCTGCTCTGCTAATATTCAGATAAATGCGTAAACCAGCTACAATAAGGTAGTTTTCTTTCTCTTCTTGGGATATGAATGTGTCTGCCTTGCTCTATAGCTATCTCTCCTTCAGTGCTGGATTCTCCTTATGTCTCTCATAATGCAGTAAAAGTGTGTACATAAACGCAGGGTGAGCTGACAAGTGGATGCTTTCCTTTCTGTTATGGAATACACAGATACATGTGCCATAAATAGGGTTAAACTGGCACACGAAAAGCTAGACCTAATTCCTAAGCATCCATATTCATACATTTTTTATAGACCATCACACTTTGTTCTTTACTTGACTGGCTCTGCAAGACTTTTTTTTTTTTTTAACTGCTCTAGGGCACAAGGAAGAGAGGAAATATAGTGCAGTGGGGTTTCTTTGGCTTCATGGATTCAAAAAATACAGAATTTATTCTTATCTTGTGTATATGAATGTATGTAAGTATGGCAAATTGTATAGGATAGCTGAACCAAAAGGAAAGATTTCTCAGTCCTCCAAAGGCATGTTTTTATTACCCAGTGTTTAATAAACAAATTTCAAGCAATTTGTTTAATTTCTAATAACATTCCTAAAACTCAGAGGGGTAGCCGTGTTAGTCTGAATCTGTAAAAAGCAACAGAGGGTCCTGTGGCACCTTTAAGACTAACCTTTATGCTCCCAATACTTCTGTTAGTCTTAAAGGTGCCACAGGACCCTCTGTTGCCTATTCCTAAAACTCTCACTCATCTCTCTACTGTGATGTACCTTTCTGGTCACATCAAAGTCAAATGTCATACTGTGAGATGTAGGTTCAGTATTATTTGCTAGATTATTGCTTCTAGCCCAGTTCTTGTATTTACTATGGATACAAAACACAAAAATAAATAATCTGAATAAATAAAGGTGGTTTGCAAAATTTACCAGCTAAGGATAATATCTATTCACTTACCCTTACCATTATGATACAATTTTACTTGCTGTTAGAAAAAAAAATTACTCCCTTTGTGAGCAAGTGAGTAAAATTTTGTAGGGCTGAGTGAGAGGAGCTGCAGTCAAACCTATTCTCAGTACTCAGAATATTCAGTACTTAAAATATTCATCTGGTTCTCACTAGTCCTAGTTGGCCAACTAAGTTTTGGAACAGAGCAAAATGTCTATAGGTCTACTGGTTCTGTGGCTTGGCTCCTGTAGAAACAACCAGAAACCAGTCAAACAATCCTAATGGACTCTACTGAAATTTCTACTACATACTGGATCCCCCATTTTGGCTGTGCATTCCCACGTCCTCTACAGGAGTTAACAGTGGTCAGTCTAGCATTAAAGAGATGTTGTCATCTAAAACATGGCCCAAGGTGTATGATTTTAAAAAGAAACTTTTACAAAAGCTGAGAACAATAGAAATAATTCTATGTTTTTTTTTTATTCCGGTGGAGGCAGGTTATTTTTTTTAAAAACCCACTATCCTGCATTGCTCCAGATTAGAACTGATAGTGAAAATAACTAGGAGCAAAAGTGAAGCTGACTATCTTCATTGCTGAAGCTGAAAGAAATGCAAAGAGTAGAGAGGCTCCCACTCCAGAGATTTTGGCTCCAGACCCAAAGTTTGAGGGAGGTTTCATTCCACTATTCTGGTTTGGGCCCATCTTTAGCAGAAAGATGTCATGTGCAATGGCAAGCCCAAAGGCAAGAATTTTTAATGAATCCATAAATTCGGGGGGTTGTACCTTCTGACTGGAGAACTGCAAATATAGTACCTATATTTAAGAACATTTTTTTTAAAAGTGATCTGGCAAACTACAGGCCCATTAGTTTGACCTCAGTTTTGTGCAAGGTCTTAGAACAAATTTTGAAAGAGAGAGTAATTAAAGACATAGGATAATTAGGAATAAGATACAACATGGTTTTACAAAAGGTAGATCTTGCCAAACTAACCTGACCTCCTTCTTTGAGAAGATAACAGATTTTCCAAACAAAGGAAATGCAGTACATCTTATCTACCTGGATTTCAGTAAAGCATTTGATACAGTTCGTAGCCGTGTTAGTCTGGATCTGTAAAAAGCAACAAAGTGCCACAGGACTCTTTGTTGCTTTTTACAGTTCCATATGAGAAATTATTAGTTAAATTGGAGAAGATGGGGATTAATACAAGGATCGAAAGATGGGTAAGGAACCGGTTAAAGGAGAGACTATAATCATATTGAAAGGTGAACTGTTATGCTGGAGGGAGGTTACTAGTGGAATTCCTGTAGGTTCATTCTTGGAATCAGTCTTATTTAACATTTAACATGTCCCCAAAAATGGGAGTGTGCTAATAAAATTTGTGTCTGACACAAAGTTGGGAGGTACTGCCAATATGGAGGAGGATCAGAATATCATACAAGAAGATATGGACTACCTTGAAATCTGGAGTACTAGAAATAGGATGAAATTTAATAGTGCAAAATGCAAGATCATGCACTTAGGGACAAACAACAAGAGCTTTTGTTATAAGCTGGGGATTTACCAGTTGGAAGCGACAGATGAGGAGAAAGACCTGGATGTACTGGTTGATCCCAGGATGACTATAAGCTGCTACTGTGGTATAGCCACGAAAAAGGCTAATGCAATCCTAGGTCACATTAGGTGAGGTATTGCCAATAGAGATAGGTTAAATAGGTCTTACCTGAGTTTTTTGAGAGCAGACTTAAGGAGCTTGACTTGTTGATTTTTAGCCTAACCAAAGCCTGAAGGGAGATATAATTGCTTTCTATAAATGCATCAGAGGGATAAATACCAGGGATGGAGAAGAGTTATTTAAGTTAAGGGTCACTGTTGGCACAAGAACAAATGGATCTAAACTAGCCATCAACAAGTTAAGGCTTGAAATTAGATGAAGGTTTCTAACCATTAGAGGAGTGAAGTTCTGGAACAGCCTTCCAAGGGGAGTAATGGAGGCAAAAAACATAACTGGCTTCAAGACTGAGCTTGATAATTTTATGGAGCGGATGGTATGATGAGGTTGTCTACAATGGCATATGGTCCATCTGTGTCTACTACTAGCAAATACCTCCAATGGCCAGAGATGGGACACTAGGTGGGGAGGGTTCTGAGTTATTACAGAGAATTCTTTCCCTGGTGTCTAGCCAGTGAGTCTCTCCTGCATGCTCCGGGTCTAACTGATCATCATATTTGTGGTCAGGAAAGAATTTTCCTCCTAGGTCAGATTGGCAGAGACCCTGGGGGTTTTCTTGCCTTGGGGCCCGAGTCCCTTGCTAGTCTGAACTAGAGTAAATGGTGGATTCTCTGTAACTTGAAGTCTTTAAATCAAGATTTGAGGACTTCAGTAACTCAACCAGAGGAGATGGGCCTAGTGCTGGCATGGGTGGATGAAGGTCTCTGGCCTGTGATGAGTAAGAGGTCAGACTAAATGATTATAATGGTCCCTTCCAGTCTTATAGCCTATGGAGTCTAAAGTCAACAAAAACCAGAATCAGTCAAAAGTAAATGAAGTTTTGAAAATTCTAGTACACCAAGGTGGTGTTAGGAAGACAGGCCAAGATATTTTAAAATATATATTTATATGATTTTTAACTTGACAGGGTCCCTTTAAGCTCCATGGCAACAGGCTGCAGAATGTAACCTTCTTTCTATGGAGGCCATAGAGTGAAGCTGTTCCTCAGTTCCCATTCTCTCCCTCCAACTTGAGGTGCCCCAGAATACCCATGGAGTAACAAACACTTGTTGCCAGTATAGGGGAACTTCTGCAGGCTTTGGAGCATAGGGAAACATGTGATGAAGGCTCTGCTCCTCTCCTTATGTTGGGTTTTTTTAGGAAGTGGAAGTAGGGGGGGGGGGGGGCTTTTCTATTCCACCACTGCCCTCTATAGCATGATAGGGGACAGAAGCATCTGGTCCTGAAATGCCAACTACCAGGGTTAATTATGTTAAAATTGCTCCCTTGCATACTATCTTCTCTGATTTGATCCTAAAGTGAAGTCACAGAGCTGAATTCGTGACATCACAATCATTTTCATGACAAAACACTGAGGATGTTTATGGGATTATGACTTCATTGCTGGATCAGGGATAAGTAGTGGCTGTGTTGTTAAACAAACATAGAACAAGCTAAAAATTACTAACCAAATACATCCATTTCTTTAGCTATATATGATGTCTGCTCTCAAGTTTGCTCCACTATACAAATTCCCCTTTAATATGCCTGTACAGATGCCATTATTTTCCTGAAGGTGAATATGGAAGTACATGTGACGGGTTAGATCACAGAAATCCCCTGGGGGCTGCCAACTGATGTGCCAAAACTACTTCTTCCCCTGCTTTCCCTGCCAGTTTGGGACTCCATCACCCTATCTTGTTGAGCCAAACACGCCAGTCTGCTCCAACACAGACCCAGGGTTTGACCCACATGCCCCAAAGCTGCAGACTTAACTGAAAGCAACTTAAGAAGTGTTCCTGTCTTTAACACTCAGATGCCCAACTCCCAATGGGGTCCAAACCCCAAATAAACCTGTTTTACCCTGTATAAAGCTTATTCAGGGTAAACTCATAAATTGTTCACCCTCTATAACACTGATAGAGAGACATGCACAGCTGTTTGTGCTCCCCCGGTATTAATACATACCCTGTATTAATTAATAAGGATTAATTAATAAGTAAAAAGTGATTTTATTAAATACAGAAAGTAGGATTTAAGTGGTTCCAAGTACTAACAGACAGAACAAAGTGAATTACCAAGCAAAATAAAATAAAACATGCAAGTCTAAGCCTAGTACAGTAATAAAACTGAATACAGATAAAATCTCACCCTCAGAGATGTTTCAATAAGTTTCTTTCACAGACTGGACGCCTTTCTAGTCTGGGCACAATCCTTTCCCCTGGTACAGCCCTTGTTCCAGCTCAGGTGGTAGCTAGGGGATTTCTCATGATTGCCGCCCCTTTTTTTCTGTTTCACCCACTTATATATCTTTTACATAAGGTGGGAATCCTTTGTCCCTCTGGGTTCCCACCCCTCCTTCTCAATGGAAAGACACCAGGTTAAAGATGGATTCCAGTTCAGGTGACATGATCACATGTCACTGTAAGACCCCAAGCCTTCATTCTTCCCAGCCTGACTCACAGGAAGGCTTGCCTGCCAACAGAGCCATCCACAGTCAATTGTCCTGTTTGAAGGGTGCCATCAAGATTCCAAACCACCATTAATGGCCCACACTTTGCATAATTACAACAGGCCCTCAAAGTTATATTTCATGTTTCTAGTTTCAGATACAAGAGTGATACATTTATACAAATAGGATGATGACACTCAGTAGATTATAAGCTTTGTAATGATACCTTACAAGAGACCTTTTGCATGAAGCATATTTTAGTTATATTATATTCACACTCATCAGCATATTTTCATAAAATCATATATAGTGCAACGTCACAGTACAGATTTATATGAGACTTATTAGCTACTATTTTACCCCAGTTGCAGTAAATCTAATTGTGAGCAGCTTCATTAAAAAAAAAAAGAAAGAAAGAAAGAAAAAATCTGCTGATGCCATTGCATCCGAGTGATGGCACCTCCCAACATTTTTGGTGATCACAGTAACTGCTCCCATTTTCAGCTTGTTAAAGAAATATCCAGCTCCCTGGACAAGTTCCCTTGGGAAAATATTAGACAGTGCTTGTTTGTAATCATTTGCACAACAGAAAGATAAAGAGATGCTGGTGGTAGAAAGCATATGCTGTAGAAAAAATAACTTGTACTAAGGATGTCTCCAAAAATTCAGTAATGAGGAATGTGATGACAACTGATGTTTTCTGTTATAATGATGACAAACAATAGGTACAACACTGGTAACAGATACATAAAAATCTAAACATACCCATCTCAAATATATCTATCGATTCAGTACGCGCTTGTGTGGTGAGGGTTTCGAGGGTTGTTATTTCGTTTTTTATAGGTTTAATTTCAGCTTTTTAAAATCAGTATCTATTGTTTAAAATTAAATCTGCCTTCTGCACCTTAAAACAAACCCTTACATTATGACTGGATAGTTCTTATAAACAATAAGACTCTTACCTTTACAATTCTGTTCCAGAGGGGCTGCATAACATAGACTGATAACGGGTTTGTGTCCACAGCACTGTACTGTGAGCAAAGAAACAAACATGTAAAAATGCAAGACATTGAGAACACTGTTTTCCATGGGTAGAATATGGCCTTCAGCATTTAGGAAAAATCAACCTAAATTTGATTGGTGTAAGTGTATTTCACCCTGATTGCCACTAATGAAGGTTTAATTTAATTAAGATGTGCTGACCTGGTTTATAGTACATTGCCAATAACAAACGGATTTTGTGGAAGACAAATGGAAGACAAATATCCTGAGACTTAGATTTAAATATATAATACACACATACACACACACACACACACATATGAAGATTTCACTTTGACAAATTAGTACAGATTAGTTCTATAACCACTCTATGCATAGAATTCCCATTGAATTCATTAGCTATCCTTTTAAGTCTTTTTTTTTTTAGTTAAATTGTCTTCAGTAGCACCCTTTGAAATGTGTATTCTCAGCAGTAGTATATTTCTAGCATGAATGTGGGATTTGAAGAAAACTACAGCATTATTCTCCTTTACATCTCTTTTAGAAAACAGCCATGAAAGCTTTCATATGCCAAAGTGATCATTCATGACTTCACCATGCTATTACTGTAAGCTAATTTCACTGTAAGAAAACATTTCCAGGAGAGACTTGGGTTACTAAAATAAAATGTCCCTAAAGGCCAGATTTTTAAAGGTATTAAAGTGCCTTAAATTGCAGATAAGTGTCAAGTGGGATTTTCAAAAGCACCTAAGCACATAACTCCCATTCATTTCAATAAGCAAATTTCACCAGGTGTGATTTAGGAGCCCAAATACCTTTAGAAATCTTACCCTAAATGTCCTCTCTTTGGATTATTGTTATCTGTTCCTGAACTAACATTATGAGTCATTTCTTCTTCACCAGTCAGTATCAAGACTATGTAACTTGTGTAATATTCTTAGAACCAGATCATGAATCAGGATTTCCTAGGTCCCTGCATCTGTTCAGTGTTCCTTTAATTTAAATGGGACTCAGCACTAGTGTAAGGGTCTGCTCTACCAGATCCCAGGTTTTTCGTTGCTAATACTATCTATGTCTGGCAACTCTTTAAAAGTGGAAAGGTCCTCTGTTCATAGAATTATAGAATCACAGAATATCAGGGTTGGAAGGGACCTCAGGAGTTTGGCTCTGTGAAGATGTTAGCTTTCCTTTGGGTGAAACATTGAATACTTGTGTGTATACTTCTCCATAATAATGCTACATCCAGTATCTATGTCTTCTGTAAAACAAAACTGCACCAAGTACTTTGTTCTTACTTGAACAAAACAATATTGTTCCTTAAACCTGAATATTATCTGTGTATTATTGGCAGGGCTGGTAGCCTGCCTATTATTAAGTTTGCCCAACACTTCCCATTATAAGACCCTGTTTTCAGTTGCATATAACTTTGTCAAACTTTAACCGTTTGGGTTGAAAATGTTCATGATAGATATCTGCGTCAGGCTTGTTTTGTTGTTTTCATTTTTGAACATTTGCCAGAACAAGGCTAGGGTAAAATACATTGTTTTGCCCATGTTAAAAATTCTGGTGACCTTTTCTTTTATTAAATGCTGTGGCACTCCCATGCTTTGAAGAAGGGACTTGACTTTTGGCAGGAGTTGGCCTTTGTGTCAGGGATGTGCCTTTTGCCTTCCCTATGAAATCTGTCCAAATTATAAGCTTTTGAATAATTGCCATTTGCACATGCTCAATAGACCTCTTCAATTTTAACAAATAAAATCTCGGAAGATTCCTGAGTATGCTCCATTCCCTCACAGCTCCTATGCGTAAGCAGACTGTGCATGTGCCATCCCCACAGAATGACTGAGCATGCTCCATCCCCAGGCTACGGGGCCAGCCTGTATTGACTGCGCCCAGCTGCTCTGGGTCGGGGTGGGGCCAGCCACTGGTACTGACAGCAGGGAACTAAAAGCCTGTCTCTCCTCTGTTCTCAGTGACCCCTCCCTCCCTTGCTGGCAACCATGGAGGAGAAAGCCATCTAACTTGAATGAAGGGGGTGGGAAGCCAAACTAGAGGTAAGGGAAAAGAGTAGATAGGGCCAAGAACTCTAGTGAGGATAGAACTGGAAAGGGATGTGAAACTATGATTGAATTGGAGGCGGAAGTCTGGGACTGGTTGGCAAAGGAGACTGGGATCTGGAGAGGAGATGGACTGGTTGGGCAAGGAGACTTGAAGCCTGAGGGAGAGGGGAGGCTGGGATTGGGAGCCATATGGGTGGAGAATGGGACTGGGAGCCAGTGAAGGAAATGGGGAGATGAGAGCCAACTGTCATAAAGGAGTAGAGACACTGAGATCAGTGAAGAGCTGGGGGAAGAGAGGAGATTGGGACTGGCTAGCCAAGGAGACTGGGGACACGAAGTTGCAGCAGGAAGGGAGAATTGGGACTATCTGGGTAAGGAAACTGGGATTGGGTGTGGGGGCACAGAGAGACTAAGAGTTGGGGGGAGACTGGGGCTTGGACAGAGAGACTGGAGGGAGAGATGAGGACTGGCTGGGCAACGAGACTAGGATGGAAATCCCGAGGAGTGGAGGGTAGGGCTGCGTAGGCAAGGAAAAAGGAGGACTGATACCAGAACTGGTAAGAGACAGGACTGGAACAGGGACAGCTTGGAGGGAAACAAGCAGAAGAGTCTGTGCCCATCCTTCCCAGAGCTTGGAGCCAAAGATTCCAGAGTCTCACTACTCCCCTGCTGTCAGCAAATCCCTGTGAAATCCATGTGCGTCCCGTCCCCCTCTAGTGCGGGTCCACATAGATAACAACTGACTCCATTATTTCAAGAGCCAGAATCTGTACAGTGGAGCTATAGGTTCCAACCCTGCTGGTGACCCATCTGGATGTCAGAATGATTCCACATGATGGAATTTCTGTTTTTTAAGTGTCTTTAACTGTCCCTTTTTTTTCTGTAATCCCCTGCCTCATCCTACAGACAAAAGCCTCAATCCTGATTCATCCCCAGAGCAGGGCCAGCCTGTGCACTAAATCAGGCAGGTGTCCTGTGGAAAAAATAGTATGTTATCCTGTCATTAAAGACTATCATAATGCACGTGCACAAGAGGGCAGAACTAGGGTTGCATGGAAAACCTTAATACTGGAATTTCCTAACTTTTAAATGCTTAACTTTGCAACATTAATAATGTTCTTTTAACATAGTTTGTGTGTGTGTAATTTTATATGTATATTTACTTGTATAATTGCCTGTAAATATACCTTTAAAACAAAAACATTAATGCCTTGTAGGCCTACTGATGATTATTGAATTTTGTGAATTTGCAATACACAGGTTAAAAAAACCAAGGATGATAACTATCACCAAACCTGATTTGCTCATTTATTTTCTTACATGTAATTCAGTTTCAACTATTTATAATATTTCAAACTGTACAAGTACATGTGGTAGATTCTGTAAAAATCATTAGATTTTAGTTATATGCTATTATATATCAGTCATTTGCTAGTAAATATTGGTGAGAGATGGGCAGAAAATGACATTTTTGTGTAAAATTATAAAATGTATAGTTTAGCTAAATTAAAATTATTGTATTTGCTCTAAATAATTAAAGAAGATCTTACTGTAGCCTTTCTGCTCATTTTGTCAACCATGTTATTTCCAAGATGACACTGTTATGCTTAGGGTTGCCAGGTGTCTGGTTTTCAACCAGAACACCTGGTCAAAAAGGGACCCTGGCAGCTCCAGTCAGCACCACCAACCAGCCCGTTAAAGGTCTGGTCGGCGGCGCAGCAGGGGCCCAGGGCTAAGGCAGGCTCCCTGCCTGCCCTGGCTCCGTGTGGCTCCCGGAAGCGGCCGCCAGGTCCCTGCGTCCCTAGGGGCATGGGCGGCCAGGGAGGCTCCACGCGCTGCCCCCACTCCTAGTGCCGGCTCCGCTGCTCCCATTGGTCGTGGGCGCAAGGGCAGCGCGCGGAGCCTCCCTGGCCGCCCCTGCTCCTAGGGGCAGCCAGGACCTGGCAGCTGCTTCCTCGGAGCCGCAGTAAGCGCCACAGGGACCCCACACCCACTGCCAGATCCCTGCCAGAGCCCGGAGCCCCCTCCTGCACCCCAACCCCCTCATCCCTGACCCAACCCCAGAGCCCACACCCCCAGCTGGAGTCCTCACCCCCCTCCCACTCCCCAACCCCATGCCCCAGTCTGGAGCCCTCTCCCTCACCCTGAACCCCTCATTTCTGGCCCCACCTGGAGCCCACACCCCCAGCCCAGAGTCCATACCTCTGCCCCCCGCATCCCAACTCCCTGCCCCAGCCCTGAGCCGCCTCCTGCACCCCAAACTTCTCATCTCCGGCCCAACTCCAGAGCCTGCACCCCCAGCCAGAGTTCTCAACCCCCTGCACCCCAACCCCCTGCTCCAGCCCGGAGCCCTCTCCTGCACCCCAAACCCCTCATCCCACACCCACTCCGAGCCCACATCCCCAGCCGGAGCCCCCACCCCCCTGCCCCAGCCTGGTGAAAGTGAGTGAGGGTGGGGGAGAACAAACGATGGAGGGAGGGGGGATGGAGCGAGCGGGACGGAGCCTCGGAGACGGGGTGGGGCAGAGACTCCGGGAAGGGTGGGGCAGGGGGCGGGGCAGGGGTGTTTAGTTTTGTACGATTAGAAAGTTAGCAATCCTAGTTATGCTGAGAGTTCTTCTGCTAGCATATATACATTTATTTTTAAAAAAGGAGGAAAATGCATTACATAAACTAAATTTAATTTGTAGGATGGGGTTGAGTTTACCACTAGCCTGTATGTACAGTATTCCCAATTGTAGCTACAGTACTTTATCAGCACATGTTATCTTCATATTGTATCATCCAAACCTTAACTGCACTGATTGATTTTTTTTGATGGTGCTGCTTGCTACTAAATAACAGAAGTTTGGAACAGTGCATGTTTGTGCTTGTATGAATATTCAGATTGATGTGTGCATCAAGCCATATATCCCGTATGGCAAATGGATAACCATGTGGTATATATTGTGGAGGGGGGGGTGCATATA